CCTCGTCAGATGTTGTACAATGGGCTTGGTCGGACGCCGAGCGCCTTATTCGCAATTTGAAGTCATGTCAGCACGACGAAGCTATTGTTCAGGCTGGGTTGGACGACGAAGCTCTAGGGTTTTGTGGGCCAGCCATGTCCTGGGTGCAACTTTGTCGTCAAGTACGCCACTTCCGCCTCATTCGACGGTCCTGCATTCAGCAACCCAGCGGAAAGCTGAGGGTCATTGATGACGCCGCGGACGGCGGGCAAAGTGAGCTGAGCCACGACTCGAACAAGTTGGATTTGTGCACCAGCATCCATCCGGGCCTTCATGCGCAGCTCTTGTGGCGGGCAGTCAGCCCTTTGCAGAATGCAGCCACCTTACTTGCAGAGGGCATCTGCTCAGGAGGTGAAGATCTCCCCAATGCGTACCGGCACGTGCCTATGGTCCCGGAGCATTCAGACCCCGCCATCGTCGCCTACTACGACCACCAAGTAGGGGAGCCTCGCTTTCGTCGCTACTATGGGTTACTTTTTGGGCTGCCCAATGCTGTGTGCTCGTTCCACCGGTTCCCTCGCTTCTTTCAGGCCGTATGTCGTCGCATGGGTTATTGTCTGGCTAGCATGTATTTTGATGACTTGACAGTTCAGGACCTGGGAAGCATGAAAGGTTCAGCCCAACAGTTCATGACTTCTCTGGCCACAGAACTTGGATCGCCGTTCCAACCGGAGAAACATCAAACTATGCAGAGCCAGTCTGACTTTCTGGGGCTGGTACATGATGTTGGGCAATGCCACCATGGGCATCCCGTTTGTTTTTGGCCACGCGACCGGTTGATCTCTAAGGTCCCGGATCTCATGGACGAAGCAACTCAAACAAAGCGTCTCTCGCCAGGCCTTGCTGCCAAGCTGTTTGGTTGCCTGGGCTTTCTCAACATTGGTTGTTTTGGTAAGCTTGGGAGATCAGGGTTGAGTCCCCTGAAGGAACGCCAGTACTCCCATGACATGATTTCGACTGAGGACCTACCACGTTCGTTTGTGACCATCAAGTCCCTCCTCGCATTGCGACCTGAGCGAGAGTTACCACTTCAACCCGGTAGCCAGCAACGCTACCTGGCGGCATCCGATGCGGCCCAAGATGAACCTCGGCAAGGTTCGGCGGGCCTGTTGTTTGTTGGACCCAATGATGAACGAGATGCCTATGTCGTTGACATCACGGCGGAGCTCTTCACCCTTTGGTCTGACCACCCCACCAAGATTGCCCAGTTGGAGTTGCTTACAGTTTATGTGGGATTTATCTTTGTGGCTAGTCAGGCCCGCGCCTGTCAGGGGCTTTGGTTTGTGGACAACATTGCAGCGTTGATGGCCTTGGTCAAGGGCAGGAGCGACAACCCTGAGTTGGACACTATGGCAGGATGTATCCATGCTCTGTTGTATTCACTGCGTAGTGGTTGCTACTTTGAATGGGTCCAATCCGCTGACAATTGGTCCGACGGTATTAGCAGGCAAGGAATTCACGACGAATGGTATCAGGCTCATGGATTTCGTGTGCATCGTGTTCCAGTACCTCTCCTCCTCCTCCGCCTACCTTACACCCTTATAAGTCGTGTCTTCCAGTTCTTCTGAGTGCTTTGGGTATGTTAGAATGCATTGGAACGAATACCTGGCAGAGGTATGCACCAGGGGTGCACGCAGCGTGGGCTGCTGTGACAGGGTCACATTAACCAAAGCACTTTTGAACAAAGACTCTCAAGCTTGTGCGAAAAAGAATTCAGTCCGAATCTGATTCGTCTTATCTCAAGTCAAGTGTAACTGATGCAGCCGAATATATTCATTCATTCAAGGTAGGCAGGGTCGGTGATGAGGAATTATTTGATGTCATTCAGTTCACTCACTCCTTTTTAGCTTGAGGCTCAAGCCAAAAAGGAGTGTCGCTCCACAAGAATCAGTGTTGCTGATTCTTAAGATTTTTGTCCCACCCACCACACCCTGTGCTCGGTACGAGTGGTTACAGGTGCATGTGGCAGCTGTCGGCCTGAGTCTCCACATTTGCGGTGCATCTGTGTGGTATCTTTTGGCCTGTGTGGTGTCGCCCACGGCGAGGCCTTGATTGTGGCAGCAGCCTGCAGGTGTCCACGGGTTACTGCGTTTTGGTGATGTCGTGTTCTTTTTGATCTAGTTTGGCATGCCTCCAGTACAGCCTATTTGACCGGTAATCTGCTGTCTCATGGCCTCGAGTGGTA